ATTTACAGTAAACAAAGATATCAAAGTATAAGCACAGCATAAATACAACAGAGAACCTTAGATAGCAACAGAATGTCAGAGAGAGCAAGCTATGATCTCTAGCTCCCTCTTATGGTAATTTGCAATATAATCAACCAATCGGAATATAGTATAAATCAATACAGTGATTTTGTCTTAAAGCTACAAACATACATTGTTGGTTTATATATTGCCAACCCAACTAATTGGTGGACAGATTCCTAACACAGTCCATGGGCCATGAGTTTGACACCCCTGCTCTAGTAGAACAATAGTTTCATTTATATCATAGACTGTAACTACAGTAACATCCGTAAATTTTCCTCAAACTTTTCAGAAATTATACAATATCACATATGGAATGAGAGTTTAATAAACACAGCATTTGCAACACCCACCATTTCAAAGTGTATAAAAATGTCAGGATCTTCTTTAGGCACAAAATTTTGCAGTTAGAAACTACAATTCCATTACATCTGAACTTAATCTGCTATTCATTTGTTTATAGTCATCTTCTTAATAGCTTTGATGGAAAAAGGAACCAAATACTGGGAGTCAAATTGAGCAGAAGAATCATATTAAAACCAAAAAAACCTAAAACAGGGTAAAGGAAAGCCTTCCCAAACCCGATATTGGAGTTCAGTGGCTATAATAAACATAAATGAACAAACAAATAATCCGAAACTTTGTTCCACATAAGTGGAACTAGGTGGTCACTAGGTAAGAAACATAATGTACTGTTCATTTTAAAATTGCTCAAAAGAAAATCTCTGGTTAAAAATATGAGTAGTTAGCAGAAAAGGAATAGGAATGGTTTGGAACAAAAAAAATTTAAACCTGCCCAAAGAATGAGTGTCAAACTGCTGAGCTTCTACTATGAAATGCACCTGTATTTCTAAAGCTGCTCATTAAATCCATCTTATCTCAGAGTAATTGTCTGGTAGTCACCCTGAAGAAATGTTAGAGTGAAGAAATAAACAAGGATAAGAGATGGCTAGGGCAGTGGTGACATTCAATTTTTTTTTACTTCCGGTTCTGTGGGCATGGCTTGGTGGGCGTGGTGGGCATGGCAGGGAAAGGATACTGAAAAACCCCTATTCCCTCCCCACTCCAGGGGGAAGGTTACTGCAAAATCCCATTCCCTCCCCATCCCACTAACCTGCTTTCCAGCTCCGTTCTCCTGTGCAGGGCAACCAAAGAAGACCCAGCTGATCAGCTCGGACTTGGGAGGCAGAGAATAGATGGGGGTGGGGTCAGTCAGAGGTGGTATTTGCCAGTTCTCTGGTTCTCCAGGACTGGTCAGAACCTGCTGAATACCACCTCTGGGCCATGGGATTTAGAGCCAGATAGGTTACAGCCAGGTAGGCTTAGGGGCTGCAATGAAACCTTTCCTCATTTATAGAAAGATCAATCAGTGCAAATTTCACATCCATATTTTTCATTTAATTCTAAGCCTGGCTTTTAATAAAAAGATAACTAAATTGATGATGACAGAGTTTCAACTTAGTATGCAAATTTTATTTCTGCTGAATAATTTTCCCTGCAGGAGAATGAAATGCAAGATCCTTTATTATCTTCCATCAGGCTTTCAAGGAGAGTGAATTGGTCACTTCTGCAAGCTGATGAATTTTCATGACCATTTTTGTGCAATTGCTTTAAGCATGATTTGAAAAAATCTGTTTTATATTCATTATGTGGATAAACTCCAGGCAATGCATCATGAAATGGGAAGGCATGTACATATGTAGAAAGGAAATGAAGGAATATTCATTGTGAAGGATGCTTTTCTTAATGCTGCTTAATGCAAAAACATGCGGTGGCCCAACCACATTCCATAAGAGTGAAAAATATTGTGACTCTGTGCAGAGATAGTTATTAAAGTTATATGGAGTTACATATATAGGAAGGTCTTGGTATTTGTCTACAGTCAATAGGATGTTCAATTTGCTTTCTAATGCAGACTTACCTAATTTGAATTTTCGAATTCACAACCCTAGATGAAGCTGAAACCC